TGAAGTACCAAGTACAAAGAGACTTTAGATAAGAAGTACTTGGAACTGCTCAAAGAGAAATCAGATGAAACTGTAATTTCATTATTTGTTAAATATATTTTGATAAAATCATTTTTCTATTTAAATGTCCATTTCTGGTTGCTGTTGGTTTTAACGTAAGGTTCAGTTAATCTTTCAATTCCCAAGTAATTTTAAATTGTCCCAAACTTTGTCGCGAGCCTTCTTCAGACGGCCATTGCTCAAAATGAAGCTGACAAAATCCAGTGATACAGGATAACCGTGTTTAGATATACATGACCAATCAGAATGCACGTTACATGATCACAATTTATAAATATTTCTATTTGCGGTAGACAAAATTAAGTCAACCCACGGTAGTTATTAGCCAGATATTTTTGCAGGATTTCCCCCTGGGGGAAGGGGACTCATATGAAAAGGTCCCGGGGATACTTGTCGGGAAAATTTGAATTAAACCCCTATAGGAGACCAATCTGGCGGAAATAAGTGCGAGATGCCGAGCATCCAGACCTTTCCATATTGAAGTTCCCTTCCGGGGGTATTGTGGATGCTCGTCGGAAAATTTGAATTAAACCCCTAAAGGAGACCAATCTGACGGAAATAAGAGCGAGATGACAAGCATCCAGACTTTTTCATATTGAAGTTTCCCCGGGGATATTGTGGATGCTCGTCGGAAAATTTGAATTAAACCCCTAAAGGAGACCAGTCTGACGAAAATAAGAGCGAGATGCCGAGCATCCCGACCTTTTCATATTGAAGTTCTCTGGGGGTATTAAATGCGGGGCTATGATGTGCGCGCAGTTTGAGTTGGACACGTAACCCTCGTGATATGGGAAGACTGAAGCAACACGATCCTCGAGTTCTCCGCGCGCTCCTCGTGACCCTTTTGAAAGTGGAAAGTGCTTGTAACTCGAGATCCAATGCCTGAGTTAGAGAGAGAACTTTCTAGTCTCCGCAGCCGCTCGGGCGAAGTTACGCAAAGCTCCTTGTCCCCACGCGAGGGGATGGGTACATTGGGTGACATCGGGGTGGCTGTGAAGTAGACTAGTATAATAATCTAACGGCATACAGAAGGGACACGCCCCTTACGTTTATCAAGGATGCTTGCTATTTAGCCCAAAAAAATCCGGAACAGTAATTTTCCGGAAAATCTGTTCGGAAATTATAGACTACCTCCAGAGGTGGTTATTTTCATTCCATTCAGAACGGAACGGGGGAAATTTCGGCACCATTTACAACATTTTCCAGTGTCCAATATCTCATCAACCGAAAGCAATTACGGGAAATGGAATTGTAAATTCATATGGTAAGCGCCATCTCATTTGGTTTGGTTGGTGATTCTGGAAAAACCCTTACCATTATTCAACAGTCATCCTAGACTTTCTCAAAGTCCTTTTATTTTTTTTTTTCTGGTTGGTTGGGCGACTGCGTCGCTCGCTCGGTCGCTTCGCGACCTTGCACGCTCACGCTTGACACGGTTGCGAGAGATTGACTTAGAGCAAGTCTACAGTCATCCCAACTGGTTCATTCTGACAAATGGTAAGCACCAGTGTCTCTGGTAAACCTTTCACTCGGATAAAAGCGTGAAAATGTTTGAAAGTAAGAGACTCCTGTCCAAGATTGCAGTCGAGTTCGCAGAAAGTCTTAGACCTTTCACAGCCTCTCTATTGACGGACGCGAAAGAAAAAGCGAGCAAAGGGAGCGCGAAGCACGCCAGGGTAGGGGTGGGGTTTGCGAGCGAAGCGTGCAAGAAGAATAGTTCTCGGTCCCCACTCCCTACCCAGTCAAGTCTTCCGTTTTGGGCTGGCGTCCAGTTCTCCCGCGATTCTATCCGCGAGTACGATCAAATAAAAATACGAGAAAATAGAGGGCTGTGAACAGTCTAAGAAA